CTATAACATTTATAACATTATCATAGTATCATTTGCCAAGATTATCTATACGATGTTCAATGGCAATGATTTTCCCTTGTTTTAGTCTTTCTCATAAATTTTCACAAAACAAAATACCCATTAGCTATACATTTTCAATACTCAGTAGTGAAGTTTATTTTATTTTATTCATTATAAAAGAAAATATTCATCTTCTCTTCGTAAATATTTAAGTTTCTATGAACTGTTCAATGAAATAGCTATATATTGTGGGAGAGTTATACGTGTTGAAGACGTAGCAACTTTAGTCGTAACGATAGAATTTTAGTTATATGATGGTTCTTCGTCCAACTCTTTTAAGTCATTTATATCAATTAATTCTCATCACTATTACTATTGGATAGAAGTCTAGATTAGAAGCAATAAAAAAGCAACAATAAACTATAAGTAATTAGAATCGTCTTTGTCCAGAAGACATAATAATTTTCGGTATTTTTTGACTTCATTATTTACTTTTCGACATGTTCCCATTAGACTGCATACTTAGTGGTTCCCTAACGGATTCAGAATAGTCACACTCAAGATTGTTACTAGATATGCAGACTAAGAAAAAATCGATGTATAAATATTTTTGTTATCTGGACAGACAGAAACACGCTATTTAAACAAACACAAACACAAACGCACAAAGCATGGACCACGTCTACGTAAGATACAGAAATTATTTGAAAGATACTATTCTAATGTATAAAATAAATAATATAATACGAATAAACTAACAAAAATTGTAAAACAGAACCCGATGAAGAGACGATGTAGCGTGATCTCAATTGGATTAAAAGATTATCGTGATTTTGATAAACTGTAAATGAACAGAACGAGTATTCAACGACCACAATAGGTCCTGTACGCGATAATTACACGCAAACATCAAAGAGCTGCCTTTCGCTCACTACTTTCTCTCTGAAAGCTCTGAAGAAATATGAACAATAATGTCTGTGTTCCATAGGATTTATGTAAACTACCTCTAAACAGTTCGTGATGAACTACAAAAGCTCACTTTAGTAGTTGATAGACAGAAATGAGTACCCGCATTAGGTAGTATATGACCATTTATGAGCATCTCTACAATCAGCGTCACGAATGTTAATGAATACACACTTTCTGTAACCATTGAAAGATTATCGATATCCCAATTATATAGTAGCTGATAACCGATAAGTACCGAGTTATATAGTAGTACTTGAAGTATTGAAACCTCTTCCTCTTATATCGCAGTTGGTGGCTTATGGATAGCACCACTATTGTATAGTGAATGACCTATGAATACGTTTTTTACATAGTACCACCTATGGATGGTCTCGTCACACGACTCATGGAGAATTATGGGTACTTTCATGAATGTTTATCGAGTTTTATAAATGTTTAAGAAAAGTTTAATTTCATAGGAAAACGTGTACTTTAACTTTAAAAGGTTTAAAGTTAGTGTAAAGAATGGTCACTTTAATTATAAAAGCTAAAGCTTAAAGTGCGCTACTTTAACTATAAAGAAAATTTAAAGTACCATTCCTACTGCACTACAGTCTAATTGTACGCAAGCTATACTACAGCTGTAGTCTGGATAGATTCCAGCTATACTCAAGCTATAATCCAACTGTACTCCACTTGTACTCCACCTGTACTCCAACTTTACTCCACCTGTACTCCACTGTACTCCACCTGTACTCCACTGTACTCCAACTTTACTCCAACTGTACTCCAGCTGTACTCCAACTGTACTCCAGCTGTACTCCAGCTGTACTCCAGCTGTACTCCAACTGTACTCCACTGTACTCCACCCGTACTCCAGCTGTACTCCAGCTGTACTCCAGCTGTACTCCAATTTTTTTTTGGAGTAGAGTGAGTCTCGCTTTTTCCCCCTTGGATGAAAGACATTTATATAATACATTGGATATAACTTCCTAACATCTAACTAAAACTTTAGTTTTTATATTAAACTAATTAGCTTGAAATCATTATTCGCAATGTCTTTGTCTCATAAAACTTTTATTGATGTAAATATCTTGACCCAAACATTTAAAGATCATTCTCAAGATGAATATGCAATCCGATATTGACTCTTATGCTTTTAAAACATAAAAAGACCTTTGTATCTTAATCATAAATATTACGAAGATTAAAATGTCTTTTACTCCATGTTCAACTAATAGGCTGCTATTGACTCGAGAATATGTGAATTCTATAGATCGAAATAAGCTATGAATGTCTTGTGAAAGAAATATTCCACGTATTATGATAAATTTTAAATCAATACCGTAGTTACCTTCAGGAAAACTCATTTTTGAATTTCAACTTGAACTAGGTCTTAACAAGAAGAGTTTCAGATCTTTTGATTGTACCTGATCCTAAGACATAAATATGCAAAAGCGTGTCTTTGACATAGGATGATTCCATGTTCTTATTTCATTTTAGAAGTAAATCGATGCCCAATAAATTACTTTTGTTAGTGCTTGTTTCAAATCAGCATTCAAAAATGAGTTCTTCTAATGAGATCACAAGATCATTTCAAAATTATCGTACATGGTACGAGTGTATCAATCGTTGGGTGAGTGCAACGATTAATATGGTTGAAGAAAAAATCCATACCTTCAAATTCGTACCGAACCGGCATCAGCATATTGATTGTTGCGGTACGAAGATATGAGTGACAATGATTACGAAACTAGGAGAGGTTTTAATTGTGAGTAATTATTACTAAAAACTAGAGAGATTTTTTTGTATTATATTTGAATTGAAATAGAAATACTGTCCACTTTCTAATTAAAAATTATTTTTTTAGAAAATTTTGTGTTCGAAAAATTTGTTATCTTCATTAGAAGAGCGGCTAGGATAATTAGCGATATCAAGATTTTATTCATATACAGTGATTACTCATTTTACTGGTATTTATTAGCCACACAACTAATTTCAATGAATATAATAAGTCCTTTTGCATGCGGCATCTATAATTTCTGGTTTCTGATTCGTCCATGACTATACTCAATCTATGATGAGTAGCTACAAGTAAAAAAACAAACAATTTTATTCTGTTCGTATAATAGAACAGATTACAAAATATCAGCATAAATATGAATCAGCATTCATATCAGATTTTGTTCGCTTAATACCAATTTAGGTATGTTCTACTGATATACATCTAAGATAATCTGTGAAAACTTTCATAATTTAGATGAATCATGTGATCTAAACAACATTCATTATGGAAAATACAAAACTTACACTAGACAATAAAAACTAACCTGTATTAGAAGCTTTTTCACGAAACGTATTGATTGTGTTTTTGTTTGTTTTCGTTGAGTTCATTGGCTCTCATGGCCACTTTTTGATTGACAAGCTTCTGTTACCATGAAAATAATTGCATTACTAACATATTAGGTTTTTCGACTCAATATTTAGTCGTTAATTTGTTTTAGATATTTATAAATATAAATATATATTTATTTTTTAATTGAAAATAATGCCCCAATTATAATCGATATAAACAGTAAATACACGATCAAATGGTGAATTTTGGGTATGGTTGTGAGTGTGAAAATGGATAGAAAGAGGCGTGTATTTATGCGTGTCTGACCGTGGTGGTGAAGGTTGGGTATGGATGTGGCTTTTGCTGCTGAGGTGTGAAATGAAAATACAATCGCACGTACACTTAAACAACCGTAACTAGCCACGTTGACTTCAAAAACGATCAGGAGATATTTTCAATTTTATTTCATCAAATGTTCACGATAGTGTGTGGAGTGAATGAAAAGACCCAGACGGCCACACTTACACCATACGAGAAAAACAAATAAATGATTCGCTTGAATTATTGAAGATATATACAAGCTGATGTATCCGATGAACTTCTGAGGATATGGATGTGCATGTGAGAGGATACTGAGATTTATTTTTCCGCATTCATCTTTTCTGCGGAGTTTACTTATTTAATGAGGATTTATTAATTATAATTATATTTCAGCACATCAACAACCACATATCCCACACCCTCCTTAATATAGATTTTCCACTTAGAACGTTTCATTCAGACTAAAATTTCCAGGAATGAGTAATCCTAGTGATAAACGGTTCTAGGAAGAATTTCAGTCAGATATGCCAAACGAAAGCAAACTTCCTGGTTATTTATAGTAAAATAAGCAAAAAAAAGTCATTTTATAGTACTAAGTCTCGTTTTTCTTCACATAGAAATGAGTTATATGAAATCTGATCGAACAAAATTTTGCTCTCATTTAAACCAGATAAAACAAAAAAAAACTATTATTTTATATCTTGAATCGAGTGGGAAGTATTTCAATTTTTCTGAATAAAAAGTAAGTTATGAGAAAATCATATTAAAATCGAATTTTTGAAAGTACTTTAACATGTGACATAAGCTGGTATTTTTAAATTTCGGTTTTTATGTTCGCAAAATAAGAACACACAAAATACATTCTTTCCAAATATAAAACGAAAAGATGAAAGCTGTCAAAAATCGTATACTATCAAAATCCTTAATCTGCTTGCTTATCATCTTATATTCTTTTTCTACTAGAAAATTTTCTTTCTTGATCTCTTCTTAATTCAGATATAGACATACTTTCTAGCCTATATATATGCGTTGTTTTATGATGTATGAAATATGGCGAAAGAGTTGGATTGTATAAGTATAAAGTGAGAGACGAATCTCATAGTCATTATTATATTGAACACCTCAAAAATGTTGCTTTTTTTCTGATTTGAAAATTCGAAAAAATTGACCAATACAATTTCATGAATTAGAAAGAAAAATCTAGCACAATATTAGTTAATTTTTAATTTATAAGTAATTACTAGAAGAATATATAATCGATATTTTTTGTATTTCTATCAATATAAATAAATTTTAAATACAGATTTGAAATTCATTTATTCATTCTAACTATCATTGATTAACTTTATTTATCACAAAAAAAAAAAAAATAAAAATAATTACAAGAGAATTTGTTTCAAAAATGAGAAATCAAATCTGAACTTATGTCTTTTTCTTTCGTAACTTGATCATTATCATTTATATTTTTTTCGCTATCAATTGTATCTGTTGAATTATCATTATCAATAAATTTTGGATTGAATGAAAAAGCACCTTTTGGAATAAATGTCGATGCAAACACTAATATTGCAATCACAGTCATTTGAATAGCAACTGTATTCATAAATGCTGGTCGAATAGTTTTAGTCGACTCATGCACACTATCAAGATATTTTCCAAGAAGTGGATTTAAAATAGCATAAATAATAATATAAGATGAATATAAAAATGCTGCAACTGCACCTAATGCTGATATATTTTTATGTTGTAATTCTAAATTACTTAAAGATGATTGAATAAATGAATTCAATGCAATATCATCAGCAGCTGATGCAAAACCAATTGGAAGATATGTTGCAGCAATAATCCAAGCAATTTTAACATCATTTGTAGGTGGATAATAATATGGAATATACCAAACAATAAGTAATATTAATGCATCTAATCGAGACCAAGGAAGTGGTGTTTTAATATAATTTCCAACAATAAATATAAATAAAGCACCAAGTAATTCACCTAAATTCGAACCACCAACAATAATTTGTGACCATTCAGAATGACCAAGATATCGTTTAGCTATTTGTGGAGCAATACCATTTTCAATATAACGATGTGCATAAAGTGTCAATGAATAACAAGTCCATAACCATATAAATTTTCGATGAGTAAATATAATTTTTGCACCAATAAAAAATGATTTTCCAAAAAGAACAAATCCTTCTAGAACTGATTTAAAATAATTTGATTTATTTGTCAACATAATTTCATTATCGGATGTATTCATATTTGATCCAAATGAACTAATAAAAAGCCAAATAATTGCAGCCATTGTAAATAATATTGGCGTAACAATAAATGCATAATTATTGCCTAAACGAGGAATCAAAACAAGACCTGTAACAAATGCTCCACTTACACCGGCTACTTCATAAAAAACATGAACTAATGCATCCATTTTTTGTAATTTTTCACCATTATCACCAACAATATCTCTTGGAATAACTCGTCGAATTAATTCAACCATTCCATAAGCAATACCAGTTATACAATAAATTGGTATAATTCCATTTGTATTATATCGACCATAATACATATAAACAGTATTATTTGTTGGTACAAAATCCGGTGGTTGGACGCGACCACCAGTTGCTGCGTCAACAATTAGAAGAATAGCAGAAAATAAAGCAAATATAAAGATTGAAATTGATAATACAGTACGTGTTGGCCAACGTTTAGTAAGAGGTGCAACAAGTATTGAACCAATACATTGAAATGCTTGATTAAGACCAGATATTAATCCAACTCGTTCAAATGTATTTGAAGATATTCCACTAACCATAGCATCGTGATCATAACGATTTGTCGCAAGTGTTACAATAGATCCATTGAATGCTTCTAATCCAAATTTATAAAGCATGATTCCAATAATATAAAACATAATATTTCGTTTTTCTTTCGCAGAAAATAATGTCCATATTTGTACAAATCCAGATTTTTCGAAAACCATTTGATAATAAACTGAAATAAGATAAAAATACAATACTTATCTGTTGTAGGATGCGATATTGACAATAAAATTATTTTGAAAAAAGAAACTTTTATCATAATCCCTGCAGGATCAACGTTTAAAATATCATGTACTCCGTATAATAGTAGATGTTAAAATGATGTCATAGAGCGAATAGATGCGTACCTAGGAAACCTCTGACGGAAGAAGGGCGTTAATTAAGCACTAAAAAACAAAAATATTTTCTCCATACTATCCTATGGCATATTTTTTCAAGGGACTAAAACTTCCTTAGTCTTCCTCCCTTCAATGGACGAATAACAATACTCAGTATTTTGTGACTAAGTCAAAGGAATATTTGCCTGTCTCTGTACAGCTAGGATGAGAGTTTAATTCTCTTACTATTTACTTCAAACACTTATCAACGGTTGTATTTTACAAGAGAACAATCTCAATCAATTTGATTATATATGTTTATATGACGCAAAGAGATAAATTACTGGACTAGCTGATGTCGTATTTACTTCATGCGTTGATAAAATAATATAATGAGCGACTTTAAATGTATTTCTAGGATATGGAACTACTTAACAGACATTGAAACAGAGACACAGAATGAAATAGAAAAAAAAAGAGATTCCTACAGTTTTCTAGAAATACTCTAACGAACATTACTGTTTCTTTTCTAGAAATACATATTCGAACGAAAATGACAGTATTAACCTTTAGTCTGTTGTTAATAAATATACACATGTTAATCATTCAAGTATATTCAATGACTACTATGAAAGAAGACTATGTATACTTTGCTTCATAGTATTGTCAAATAACGGTACAAAAAAAGAATAATAATATTGACTCATACCCCCACGTAAAAAAAGAACAGTAAAAAATCTTGACAAAAAACTGTTCTGTAGTATATGACGGTTAAAGAGCAATACTAATCAATTATTCTCGGCTCTGATGGTTCTATAATTTCAGGAAAAAAAAACACGTAAATATGTGACAAAGGTGATGATTCAAAAATGTCAGGTGCCTAGTATTACTGTATAAACTTTTATTCGCTTGATTTCAATTTTTCTTCGTGATCAAATATGATTCATGAATCGCTTGATGAATAATGATTTATCAAATGCCGCTGACTTTCTATCCATAGTCATTTTGTGCTATATTACGATGTTTTAATAAATTAAGATGAGTCAAGATAAGTACGTAATATGTACTATTTTTAACTTGAAGCGTTTTGTATTTTTTCTGTAATATTTAATGAAGACATGATTCACGTTCGAAAGTTCAAACAGGACATGTTTCATTTATTGTTAGGGTGTGGGTGTGGGTAAATGTGAATAAAAAGGAGAATGAAATCCAAAACTACACCCATACTCTTGAATTTAAGTATTATCAAGTGAAATCAATCATACACGTTTATATATTGAGAGTGCTTGCATTATAACGTAGAATAAGAAGACAAAAAACATCGATTTATGAATCAAAATCTATCAACATTGCATTATAAATGATTTGTCTATATTTTTAGTCGTTTACTACGACCATGGTCGTAGTAAACGATATTAATATTCAATATTTGATCCCTGATTGGTAAGCAAATACAAAAGTGAAACTATCTGGATTATCTTTCACCATGTTTTTTTTTATATATTCACTTTTTCGTTCTTCAAGTTAGAAGGCCTGTATCAATAACATATTCTCTATCGGTATGAGTATGGTTGAGGGCGCAAACAAAGAGAGGGCCTATATCTACATCCTTATCCTCGCTTAGCTAATGCCTTCTAACTACCTGCCAAAATCGGTCGGAAATGCAGAACTTTGTTAAAAACTTGAGAAATCTGCTGATCTATGCGAAGTACTAGGTTTTGTCTTACAGTCGTTCTTTTCTATTGATACATCATAAACTACAGATGAAAGCAACAAAACAATGGAAACTAATGCTATTTTCCATGGAGTGATGAACAATGCAGGCCAGAGCTGGGCAAATCAGAGACTTTCCAAGTCACAAGTCAAGTCAAGTCAGTAAAAGAATTTTCAAGTCACAAGTCAAGTCAAGTCAGTAAAAGAATTTTCAAGTCAAGTCAAGTCAAGTCAAACCCTAAAATTTTTCCGACCAAGTCAAACCCCAAAATTTTTCCGACCAAGTCAAGTCAGGTCAAGTCAAACCCCAAAATTTTTTTGACCAAGTCAAGTCAAATCAAGTCCAAGTCAAGTCCAAGTCAAGTCAAGTCAAGTCAAGTCCAAGTCAAGTCCAAGTCAAGTCAGGTCAAGTCCAAGTCAAGTCAAAGCCTCAAAATTTTTTGAGCAGGTCAAGTCAAGTCAAAACCTCAAATTTTTTTTGACCAAGGCCAGTCAATTGACTTGACTTGACTTAGACTTGAACTGACTTGATTTGACTTGACTTGACTTGAACTGACTTGACTTGACTTGACTCAAATCAAGTCACAACCTAAAAGTTTTTTAATCAAGTCAAGTCAAGTCAAGCACTAAAATTTTTTCGGCCAAGTCAAGTCAAGTCAAGCTTCAAAATTTTTCGACCAAGTCAAGTCAGACTTGACTTGACTTGACTTGACTTGAGGTATTTTTGACTTGACTTGCCCAGCTCTGATGCAGGCTCTGCTGCAATGCGCATGTTATCAATATCATTTAACATATTAAACTATGATTATCAGCTTACATTCCATTCTGAATGCTTATTTCGCAGCAGATAAACAATATAATACAGCGACTTTTTCATTTAGAAGATTCACTTTTTCAACAAATCGACAACACATTCAGACCTCCATTCAAGATTTGATTTAGTCGTTCATACATCCGCATTGTAGATTATAATCAATAAATAGTATCAAAACGATCCAATGGATCAATTCTTGGATTTTTTTACATAAAAACTAAAAGATCAAACATTCATATCCTCAACAGAAGACTTTCTTTTGCCCGATTTCACTGATCTTTCAATTAGTTCTCAATAATACAACAGTTACATATCTTCTGTAATTCATTTCTCTCCAATCTTAATACATCAAATTTAGTCTTAATAATTTACCAAATAATTGTGGGTATGGGTGTGAATGTGGGTGTAAGTGGGGATATTCAGTTCAATCATACCCACATCCACACCTCTCATCACTTTAGTTGAGTGATAGACATGTGTTCTCCAGTCGATTCTCACTTTCAGACAGCTTGAAAGTGCCGTGGAAGTCATCAAACTAATTCATAGGAATCGTCCAGTGACTCTTAAAGAAAGCTCTAGAAATGATTGCAACATAGAAATACCCCAAATGTAACCCTAAGTACTCGATTGATCTTACCAAGATATGTACGTCCTTGTGGCTAAATAGAGGATTCACATCGACACTAACAACTACAAGTATACTCATCTAAACTGTTAAAACTCCGTTTCAATAGTCATAGATATTTAGACTTTATTCGTTTAAACGCGTTTTTTGGGACATACAACACTGCTCTAACTGTTGAAACTCATGGTGTTTAAAAATCGTTCTTTCTGCTTGCTTGTCTGTCTGAAAGAGTTCGAAAAAGCCAAGGTAGTATCCTGAAGTACCATCATACAATGAATAATCTATAGTGTACTCGAAAGTAGATACTTTACTCTATCTAATGAGTTATAATCAATTCACATGACTCTAAAATTGACTTATTCTTAGAGAAAGAGAACTTAATAAAGTTGGGTCAGTATGTGAGAAGAGTTCTTATCTAGTATGAATCAGGGCATGATTCTCTACTGTCTGACATAGATAACTCCTTTGAAAATGAAAAAAACAAGATATGTGGTTTCAGTACCCTGAAGGGCAACACAGGTAGGACTTCAAAAACAAAGTCTTCTTTTTCTTCTTTCCTAAGCTTTTCGAATAGGGATCCTAAGTAGCTAAGTACAATAAGAATACTGAGCTCCATGTGTGATTTAAAACTTCAATCATGTCATTAAGCAAAACTTTTTTCCATGAAATTTCATATTCCCACAAAGGTTTAGAAGTCAACATTTTTCTTGCTTCTTGTCAAAGGAATTATATGCATTAGATCATAGATGATTGTATGCCGCTTCAATGTGTATAGAAACTTATTTCATACGATGATACATTGTTAATAATTTCTGAATAATTTCGAATATGTTATTCAGTTGCACAAAAGCAATTTGTCTATATGTTTGACAGTATTGGTCAACTTCTCAACATTTCATTCAAATTCAACTCATATTTTTATACGAAATGCTGGAACCTGTGCTACGTTCATAATAAAAGATACTTCAAGACCAACAAAAGTATCCTTGACAAAATATGACTGTTTTCAAAACTGAAAAAAAAACAAAAAATGTGTTTTTTTGTTATTAATAGTCTTTAAAAAAAAATTAATATTTCGAAAATGAAGCTAAAGTTTTTGAACAATTTTGTAGAAACTCATCGATCACTATCGTCTATGGATATATTTCAAAAATGAACATAATTGGCAAACATCGACTGAGCAGTTTTTCTAGAAGCAGATCATAATTGCACCAAAATTGGCTCATATATGTAAATACCACAAAAAAGTCAATGTTCTAAATAGATTTACTCATCACTGAGAAGCAGTAGTATTCAGTTGCTAAGCAAAAGTTCATAAGCCGTTGGTGAGAGAGCAATTGTGAAAACATCCATACTCTCACAAAGATTTTAGTTTTGAATAAAACAGAAAAAAAAACTTTTGCAATGCTGTAAGGTATTTGTCACTCCAATTCTCGTTGGGCGTTTCACTATTGGACAAGATTTCCCTCATGATCTTACACAAAAACCATCAAAACAAGTCAAAAAATTTTTGTCAACATTTAAGCACGATAAAAGGTTTATAATCACGAACAAACAGCAATACAATGGTAGTTTCTTACAAATATGCAAACTAAATATTGTATTGCTTGGTGCTCAAAAATTTTTCACAGTAATCTCACTTATTCGATGTGATTTTCATAATGGTATGTCATTTTGTACTGTGCATTTCGATAGTTCTCTTCGACTATATATACCCTTTGCTTTTGAATATTGTTCAACGTTTTATTATACGAATATTATATTGTTACAATACGAGACTAAATAAATTTCAAGAAAATATGCCAATTGAATAAACAAGAAATCGGTAAGATAAAATCATCGGCATCTATGCAAGATTTTATGTCTTATATGGATGAAGAATTTGGCTAAGGCTTTACGAAAGACATTGCCGCCGACCAACGTATAAATATAAAATGGCATTCCATTTGCTACGAAATGAAGTAATTGAGCAAGATTATACACCAAATCTTCAATGGCTACTTGCAACGCAGATGGTGTTCTGCCAGTCACTATTGCTGAGTGTAATTTCTGAATAGCCAACGGAATAGATAATATGAAAAGAATACAAATTTGTACAAGAAGCATAATTAATAGATTTTGATCTTGCTTGGTCATTCGATGTCGTTGATTCGTAGTAGCTGTCACCGTATTTGTCACGATTGATGTATTTCTATTAGCTACTCGACCCCGTGACTGACGAATATTGTAGATAGTCATCAAACCAAACATTAACATGAGAGGTAAAGGAACAATAGCAAGAAGTATAAATGATATATCAGTCACGAATCGGCATGCTATTGTTATACCATAACATTTCTGTGGAGCATTGATAAGATTTGGCTCATGACAATAGATAATGTGTGAAAAAACCACAATAGCCAACATGAGACTGATAATCATGGCACGTTTAGCGTTTTTCAATGAACTCATTTGTCGATGGTGTAATTTAAGACTTGATAAAAGCCATCGATCAATTATAGCAAAAAGTATATACCAAATTGCTACTGATCTTGCAATATTTACAACAAAACCACGAAGTTTACAAAAAAATCGAGTTGTTGCTGTTAGATCAGCTCCCCAACCAGACAATATCCGAGAAAGAAGACCAGAAAGAATAGCAATAAAATTAACCACGGATGAGAATAGAAAAAGTACAGCACATGGATTACGACGAAATGGTGTTTGAGACAAAATTAACACGTTGAAAATATTCCCAATCGAACCGAAAAGAAAGATAAAAACTGAACAATAACGGACGAGTTGAAGTGTGGCATTATTTATTGTTGCAATCATATCTACATCCGACAATGAAAACATTGTCGAATTCAATTGACCCATAATAAGTTAAATCTGAAAACGATCGCAATAGAACTTGCGAAATATATTGTTCAAATTCACTATTGAATGAAATAAAATGTTTTATGAGTTTATTGTGTGAATTCATTTACTGATTAATTATGCCCGAACATCTAATGATACCAGAATCTGCATCTTCATGAAAAGCAATCTCTAACAGGTTTTTTGGCATTCTTTCCATAAAATAAAAGCTTTTTCTATAGCATATATTTTAAAACTAGTACTATTTGATTCATATTCTAGGAAAAAGATCGTTGCATCATTGTTTAGCATACGAAAATAAGGTTTTCTTCTGTAAGTAGTCGAAGATTGAATCCTTACAGTTTTTAATGTTGGGTCTCGAAGACGGTCAACCAACTATGCCGACACTTTACTATAGATATGGAACCAACAGTAAGGAACCATTTTGGAGGAAAAATAATTTTCTTACCTGATTTTACAGGATCCTGAAAGGCAAGGTCCGAGTATTGTCAAAAATAAACCTCGTAACATTCTGTTTTACTTATCGACGTCTCACAGAACTCTTTTTCGTAGTATTTTAGATGCAAAAATAGTCATCTACTAAAATTAACTATCACTTCTATTCAATTCTAAAATTTTACTCTGCGTATTTGTTGCATTTTTCTCTAGCGATTCTAACAGATTGACGTTGAAATGCATGACAATACGCAACATGTAATCCAATAGATATGTTCTGTTCTGATTAAAACTAATGCAACTTGCTTGATATTATAAAAATGAAAATAGAGTTCTATCAATTAAAAATTAATGGTTCACATCTTCATGTCCTTAATAGAATAGCAGAGCAGAAAAAAAATGCTAGAATTAATTACATTCCATTTTTAATATATGTCATGCAAGCAGAACTACATTAGTAATCAAAGAATGTTACTTTTGATAGTTGAAAGAGGTATCACATATGCAGAATAACCAAAATTGTGAGAAAAAAATAAATGTATCTTTTTCATTTTTTCATACATTATGGTAGCTTTATACAGTAGAGAAAGTACTCATCTCTCATGTGACATCTTTCATTTTCAGGATATCACAATGCTCTTACATTAATTATAACTTCTTGCTACATTTATATCATAATGCAATCACGAGCAAGAACTATCGGATCACATAAGACGCATAGAAAACGTATTTTCTTTATCTTTTCCTCTTTCTCATATTTCTTCGTGTTGTCGACTCGCATAATCTGCTTGAAAACTCAGTAGGTAGAAATGTCACTTTCAAACAACATTATGTCTACATGGTTGGATAGAATTTGTAGGGCTTTATTTTTGGATTGCTAAACATTTTTGTTCACTTTTAACAAATCTTAAAATATTGTTTGTCTCTTTGATCTAAGTAGAGTAGCGGTAGCATTAAATAATTATATGGTATTGTGTCACTCCAAACGAACTAGCAAGTAATTTGTAGTTACTCATCGCTTGTAAAAAGAGTAGATAAAAGTGACAAGCAAACCTTATGGGTCTCAAAGAATGACGTATTTATAAGAATAATTGATAAGTATGAAAAAAAGAGTGACAAAGAAACTATGAAATTGAATACATGCATTGAATAAGAAAATCCAGGAGAAAAATATTGTCAAAGTCGAAAATACAATTTTTGAGTGGATACTCATGGACTTTAAGTAAATGCTATAATCTACTACACACAAAATGATTAATGCTGAGATGAAGACGTATCTTAATTTCACGTGTTGAAATAATAAAAATTATTGGTAAGTACCAATATAGTCGTTGAGTCATCTTGGCACTAAACAACACTTCATTCTTCATTGTTAATACACTCTTCTGCAAGTCTTAAGACAATATGTTTGTTAATTGTTGAGTTACATACATGTAATTAGTGAGAACCTAAAGTAACTATGTCAAATCAGTTTCATCCGCTCTTCTCTAATATATATTCAGAATACTTCTTCGACTGAGGGATACTTAGCTGAAAAGTATGACCAGGAAAAAATATGACACCATTACAGAGAAATCATATTTTTGCGCCCTATGCTTTACTTGTATAGATTGTATTTTGAATCTGTTCTACACAGGTCATCTGTGGTTTTTCTGAGAACTACATGGTATGTAGAATAACAACCTGTCAAGTACATAGACTATTTTACAGAACAAATTTCGCTTCACAAAACTCGCTCATGAAGATTTATTTCATGTTTCGCATTCAGTAAGCTTGAGCCAAAATATAAAAAATACATCAAATAAAATTCTGTATAAACGTCATTTTTCATTCTGTTAAGCATTTGACTTATCCTTAATCAATCCAAAATTAGAGAAATATTATTGTCACATATTCGAAAAGAGCACTAGATTCCAATCTTAGTTAATGACAGTCGATTTTTATCAATTACATGTAGGTAACTGAAAAATCAATGAACATTTCGCCTTAAGACTCTTGCCACAGACTCTAAGCAGTATATAGCTATCGAAAAAAAATAGAACTCAGAGTGAAATTGCAAGTTATAATAATATACAACAAATAATTGATACGATTGTTATATAAGTGATAAAAGAAAATTCAACCGTAATTCGTTGGACGACAGTCATTCGCCACTCAATTATTAAGTTCACAAAAGGAACATTCTCTGTAATGAAGCGATGAGAGACGACGAAAAAAATACGAAAATAGAAAAAACATAATTTCTTAGAAAAAAATCTTTCAGTGTAATATATGTAGGATTGAAGTGTAAAATGCGGCAGATCTGTTTCACTCGCAAACAAGAATCATATTCACATTTATCATTAGGAAAGAACAACACAAAAAAAAATAAGGAGGAAACAGAAAAGCCAGAACAGCTGAAGGTGATGTCTAGGAAAGGGTTTATGAGACATTCATGTATCTATTATGAGTATCTCATATTCCTTTGTCATATCCTTTTTGGATATATGAGTATTCCATAAAGGGTCGGGAAAATTGCGTATACCATAAAGAAAAAGATTTATTATACGCTGTAATTTTATAGATCCTTCAAGAGTAACCAGCTTCAATTTCTAGACTTTCTGAAGAACAGCTCATATATGCTGCCTTCTATGAAATATTTGAATCACAATTGGTCAAAAATACCCATGTTTTCATTTCCATTTCTTCAAGATATGACGTTCGAATTCCTTTTTGCAAGCTGGACGGTGTTTTGGGGTGAATATTTCTTTGGTTTCCTTGTATTGTTTGTCTTTCAATAAGAAAACCAAAATACAGAACATATTCTAAAAATCATTTGTTTTTCTCACTTGGACGAAGTTTATGAAAGTTGTCAAAAATCACGAGGGCGATAGTTTTTGAAATAAAAAAATACCTCGACCAAATAGTAACTAGTATATGTAAAAAGGGTGTCAATGTGGGCGTGTCTCTTCTTCACCCACACTCAATTATCTCTTCTAGAAAAATAAACTTAGAATAGGCATCAGAACACACGAACATTGTATATGACAAATTTATTGTTATGATCGCTCTATTCACATTTTATTCAAATGCCAGTATTTCTTCAATATCTAGGACCAAATTCTTACTCAGATATTTGATTTTTATTTATCATACTTTTGCTCGATTTTCTATCATGGCTTATGTATCACAATTATTTTGAAATAAACCAGGTATAAAGAGGCTGGGCTTTCTTCCTACGATCGAGTAATAGATTTGTCATTGATTGTAAAATTTTGAGTCATATAAAGACGATTTTCTACGATTTCCATTTTCAGTTATTGCTACCATAGGAAAAATTGCCGTGTTCATTCTCATAGTGTTATTTCCATCTGAGAAAGACGCTGCTACCATATAATGACTGCTTACGACACAATATGATAGTGATAATGAAAACTATATTTGTAGCTATTGACAATAAGATTTATAGAAAAAAATATATAAAGCTTGTTTTGTTTTGATTGTCGGATATGTACTTGTTTTTCTATCACTTCACAATAAAATACATTTCACAAATTGAAAAGAATTACATATTTAATAAATATATCAACTCACACAAAAAACCAAAAAGAATATCAATACAACACCTTTTTGTTTATCGTTTTCGTTCCCAAAATGTTTCCCGTGGGAGCTGGAATGAGGCGGAATGTCAATAATGGAATGATGAAAAACTCATAACTTTTCTGTAATTCTCTGTCAACAGTCTTCATCAATTTCACTGTCTATGCTTTTACGGGTGTGGATGTTGATTATGCGAATAACAACACCAACATTTATAACGAACGATTGACAAATTTATAATGGGAAGAATCGAATAGACGAAAAGAAAATTCTCATATTGAATCATGTGTCTAATCATTTTTGAAGTTCATTGATTCGCCACATTTTTCTCGTTCACAATGTAATTAGTTCCAAAAAAATATATTTTTCATATTAGTCACTTATTAATATTATCAATAATTGAAAAAAACAATCAGAATATTGTTTTTACTCTTTGCTCTTCGGTGAAAACCTGATTAACTCAATTTCAGTGTTTTCATTTAAATTCCTGAAAAGAAATTTAACTCAAATTCGTAGTTAAGTATTTTATTGATCAAATCAATCATTGCTAATTGCTTGAGAAGGAAAACTCTTTTCTTTGCTACTTAAAAATAAATTCGAATAGGTCTTATTATTGAAATTAAGAGATTAGAAAGTTTTCAATAAAGCTTGATAACATGAAGAATGTTCAATGGGATGTACTAAGTTCCTTCTTAATATTTGTACCAATATCGAATAGGCAAATCGTGATCAGACGGTGCTATTCCAAAGCCAATATGACTCTTTTTACTAGTGACTTTTGGCTGATTTTTAAGAAATTCATGGTCAATATAATACAGAATCAGTGCGATACATATTTTAATCTCATTTTTGGCATAATGACGACCAGGACACATGTTTTTTCCAGATCTAAAAGGCATAAAACCCTTAATAGTTTTGGTCTTCTTACCAACAAATCAATCGAACTTGTAGGTTTTCGGTTCAGAAAAATATTTTGGATTGTAATG